TGGCCATTCTCAATGTGGGGCATGGATGTTATTGGACAAATTTCGCCTAAAGCTTCAAATGGTCATCGCTTCATTCTGGTAGCCATAGATTATTTCACCAAGTGGGTAGAAGCAGCTTCTTACACAAATGTTACCCAGTCTACAATATGTAAATTCTTGAAGAAGGAGATCATTTGTAGATATGGTTTGCCCTAGAGGATTATCTCCGATAATGCATTGAATTTAAACAATAAGATGATGGACTCGGTCTGTAAACAGTTCAAAATAAAACATCATAATTCCACCACTTATCGCCCAAAGATGAATGGGGCAGTAGAGGCGGCCAATAAGAACATCAAAAGGCTCATAGAGAAAATGACTGAGACCTATAAGGATTGGCATGAGAAGTTGCCCTTTGCTCTGTTTGCTTATCGAACTTCAGTACGGACTTCAACTGGGGCAACTCCGTTTTCTTTGGTTTATGGGATGGAAGCTGTCTTACCTATTGAGGTAGAAATTCCCTCACTTCGGATTTTGTCAGAGGTAAAGCTTGATGAGGCAGAATGGGTCCAAGCTAGGTATGACCAGTTGAATTTGATTGAAGAAAAGAGATTGAAAGCTATTTGTCATGGTCAGATGTACCAAAAACGTATGATACGGGCACATGGTAAGAAAGTTTGCCTTCGAGAATTCCATGAGGGAGATTTGGTGCTTAAAAGGATTTTGCCTATTCAGAAGGATTTCAGAGGAAAATGGATGCCCAATTGGGAAGGACCTTATGTTGTCAAGAAGGCCTTTTCTGGAGGAGCTCTAGTCCTAACTGAAATGGACGGATCAGAATTACCATATCTAGTGAATTCCGATGTTGTTAAGAGATATTTCGCTTGAAGAAGAAATAAAAGAGAAAAAATGAAAAAATAAAAAATAATAAAAATGAGAAGAAGAAAAAGAAGAAAAGAAAATGAGAAAAAAGAAAAATGATGGAAAAAACGAAAAGAAAAAAATGGAAAATAGAAGAAAAAATGAAAAATGAAAAAAAAAAAAGAAAAATGAAAAAAAAAAGAGAAATAAAAGGAGGGTTCAAGATGAAAACCCGAAAAGGGCGCCTTGGAACCAAAGGAGGTCTCAAGTTGAAAACCCACAAAGGGAGACTTGAGTTGAGTTTGAAATTCAAAATTCGTGCATGGTGGAGGTTCTGAATTAATTCTGGAAGTGGAAAGAGATCCTGATATGGATAGTAACAATGACAGTTGGTGATCAGTGATGAGATTAAAGATTAATGAGTCTCGATTGAAATAACCAAGAGAAATTGAATGCACATGAGATTCAATACTTGTTTAGGGCATCCAATGATAGAGATTTGGGAGTTTAGAAGTAGCTTCATACTCTTAAGCATCACAATTTTGGAGATCTTTTTGACAGAAGCTACACTCGAGACATTCTAACGGCGTGCCAGTTCAAAAGCATTTGCATTATTGATATTTGAAGACGCCTACTCTTTTGTTCTTTTACTGTTTCCAGTTAAAAGTTTGTCATTTAGTTGCCTAAAATTCTCTGTATTTGTATAAATAAAGAGATGTCTTTCCTTGTTCATTTCCCCTTTGTAAGCATCTTATGTTGAAAAGTTAAAACATATAGTTTAACTTGAAGTACATGAGATCATTTTGTATTATTGTGCAAAAGGTTTTAGAAAATGCAGGTATTCTGAAGCTGATGATGGTTTTAACATGTAAGCTTGTGTGGTTATGGGAAAATGAAATCTTGAAATTCATAAGAAAATCTCAGCCATGAGAAGAAGACCTAAAGAGATTGTCATTAATTAAGAAGTTGATTATGGGTACTGGTGGGTTTTCAGGAAAGAAAGAAGTCAAGGCCCTATTAAGCTGAGAAATATGGAATTGAGATTGTTAGCCGGGGTGAACTGGCCACACGTTCTGTGCCCAAGATGAAGCCGAGTTCCATCAAGATTAAAAGGAGATAGAGTTCCTTCGAAGAAGAAAATGCATTAAATTACATAATTGCATACATTTTAGGCATGAATAGGATCATGGCATTCATAATTGCATGATGACTTAAATATTTACAGGTTTCACAGGGATAGTTGAAGATTGAAGATATTGAAGCATCGAGGTGAACATAACTGGTTTTGAGATTTTGAAAAGAATGATGTTTATACGAAAACTGAGCGCCAAAGCAGATTCACGTATCCAATGGTTGGATCTTTGAAACAAATCAATCTTAAGCCTTCACGGAAGAGTAGTGAAGCAAATCATCTATAAGCCTTCACGGAAGAATAGTGAAGCAAACCCATTTTATGAAGATTGTTCGAGTTCTATACTCTCTGAAGGAATAGAGAGCGAACCCGTTTTATGAAGATTGTTCGAGTTCTATACTCTCTGAAGGAATAGAGAGCGGACCCGTTTTATGAAGATTGTTCGAGTTCTATACTCTCTGAAGGAATAGAGAGCGGACCTGTTTTTTGAAGATTGTTTGAGTCCTATACTCTCTGAAGGAATAGGGAGCGGACACGTTTATTGAAGATCGAGTCTTATACTCTCTGAAGGAATAGGGAGCGGACACGTTTATTGAAGATCGAGTCTTATACTCTCTGAAGAAATAGGGAGCGGACCCGTTTGTTGAAGATTATTCGAGTCTTATACTCCCTGAACGAATAGGGAGCAGACACGTTTTATGAAGATTGTTCAAGTCTTATACTCCCTGAACGAATAGGGAGCAGACACGTTTGTTGAAGATTGTTTGAGTCTTATACTCCCTGAATGAATAGGGAGCATACACGTTTGCCAAAGATTATTTGAGTCTTATACTCTCTGAATGAATAGAGAGCAGACACATTTTATGAAGATTGTTCGAGTCTTATACTTCCTGAATGAATAAGGAGCAGGCTCGTCATTTGAAGATTTTTCAAGTCTCATTTATCCCGACTTCTCATGACCAGACAAATTCGATCATCTTTTGATCTTTGCCCTATGCTCGTTACACGACAATAAGCAAAAAGGGGCAGTTGTAGATGCTCGTTTTGTCCGGGCTTATAGCAGATTAAATAATTCGAATCGAGCCCATCATTATATCTAACCCAACCTGTGCTCAGTTGGATTATGCCAATAAGACAGGCAGTTTTGAGTAGGAAAAGAGGGGGAACTGTTTATAGAGAGTGGGGGTCGGTTTTGAAAGGAATTAACCTCTGAAAACTGGAGATGATCAGCAGAACGAGAAAAAGGCAGAGACTATTGAAAAAAAAAAGAGGAGAAAACCAAAAAAAATGATTTGTCACCTAAAATTTGGGAATGGAAGAAAAAGAAATGTTCGGTTATTTAAAGTTATCGAGAAAAGGTTGTTATATCTTTTAAGATCTAATCTCGATAGTTGTAAATAATCGAACATTCTTTATCTTTCTAAAATGACTTGGCAATTTTAATTTAATTCGTTTGAGTGTTCTTGAATGTTTTAAATTTACATTTTTGTTTTATGGGATCAAAAATCAAATTAAGTTCGAATTTGTAAAGTTCATTGCAAAAACGTTAATTAATCGACTAGGTACCGATTTAGGGCGTTGTGGGGGTGCTAATCCTTCCCCACACGTTAATTAATCGAATTTGTTGTTTTAATTAAAATTAATTTTTATTTAAAATGACAAAGCATTTTTGGGTGCCCAATCACACCCTAATCAAAGATTGGTGGCGACTCTTTGAACTGTATTTTTCGATCTTAAAGGAAATCCAAAAATTTTCGAAACGAGAGGTCTTTTAAATCGCATTTGTTTTTAAATTAATAAGAGATAATTAAGAATTAATGTGGTTTTTAAAATCTCACTTTTTTCACCTTTTAAGAAAAAATCGTTTTGACATCGTGTATGTCAACAAGTGTTCCCCATCTTCCTACTACCTTCTCAAAAAAAGATACATTCCAGTAAAACAAAGGAACCCCAAATAATTTCACCAGACAGAAAGCCATAGGGACACCCTCATCATTCAATAATAGTTCCAATCGGTCGAACCATAGATTCATAAGCTCCTTCCTATTCATCCAAATATCCATCATCTCCTCGGTTGAGTTAAACACTATGACGCAAGAGTTCCATACATGGCCCCAACGAGCAATATGGACATCAATACCATCTTTAGCTAGAGCCTTCTTAATCAACTCAATTTGTAATGATTATTTAACAATCCCTGTTAAAGACCTTTTAACCCAACTTGAACTTTCCGATGGAATATACATTTGTAAAATATTTTTCTTAGCTATCTCCCTATGAGAAACATCTGAAAACAGATCCTTATTCCCCATAGCACTTCTATAAGACAGCAAAGCATCTTTGTAAGATCTGGCATCCCTGATACTTCTGTTAGAGATATCCACCTTGTTGGACTTTGAAGTATCTGCAGAATCCTGACTGGAAACCTTCTTTGAGAACATGTTCATCCCCACTACCCTTGATCGAGATTCCTTATATCTTGCAGGACTCATTGAAATCAACCTCCCATCTATCAATATACCATTTAAGGCTTCAACAGCCTTCTTCAAACCAATCTCACTCTTAAAATGAACAAAAGCAAAAGTGGAGAATTTGTATTTTGGATTTCTTGTTTCTTTAGGAATAAAAACTCTAAAAATTGGACCATGGACTAAGAAAATTTCCCTTGAAGAACGACGAGAAACCCTACTAAGGTTGTCAACGAACACCGTCCAAACCTCATCGGAAACTAACTTTTCTTTCAACTTCTCTCTCTCTACGTTTTTCTCTCTCTCACTCATTGTGGATCTTTTTCGAAATTATTATGCTTGGCATCTTGATGCACGAATCAAGAATTGTTTGCATAATCTTATTTATGAATTGGCCGACACTTGACACTTTTCTGCATAATATCTTTGATGGAGAATGAAATGTTAGATTTTTATTTTTTGTGCATCACAAATAATTGTTTTAAATCACTCACCAATATTATCATGTCAATTAGCCTTTTCTTTGTGGTTACCATCATTTTCTACTTTGTTTCTTGCAGATCAATTTTGCAGCAAGATCTACTGTAAAAGTCTTGGAAAAGCCTGAAGTACTCTACCCCAAGGAGCTGCATGCTAGCCTTAAAGATCAGCTGAGAATCGTCACAAATTTTATGCAAAAACCACAACTCAAATGAATCATCCCAATGTAAAACCCGTCATGTTGGCAGCAGTGCGTAGCATTTAGACATTGAAAACCATGAATCACAAAGTGCCTTATTGATTAAATTTTGCATAAATATTTGTCTCAAGTTTATCACTACTTCAAACTAATATGATTTTCTTTCCCATGGACTTTCAAGTGCCAACAGAAGGGGTGATTCAATGGTTAAATATCGAGGGGTATCTTGATTTGAAGAGTGCCAACAGAAGGGGTCTAGTTATGTATTGTTCAGTCACATGAAATACAGCTTGTGATAACGGTAGGGTTTACTTCTGTTATTCAGACTTATGTAAACAAAATTTGGCTTGATAAAAGCTTGCAATAAAGTGGGGTGGAAAAGAAAACTATCCCAGTTTCAAAAATTAAATAGTATGAAATACTAATATATTGTATATATAACATGAAAGTTAAACTAAAGTAGTTGTAATAGTATATAAAACTTTGAATTCATTTGATTTTTAATGTACGTATAGTTTTTTTTATAATTTTTATATTTAAAAATCAGCAATGTTTAAATTTGCAAATACAATTGCTGATAAATATTCATCTTCCCCATTACCCATCAGGTCATTTTGACAAAATCACCACCTTAAAGCATTCTCTATATTCCAATGAACACCCAATTTACTAAAGCACCAAAGAGCAATCGAAATGCCAACTTCGACGTTCCCATAAATTTTCATCATGCAAGTTCTTTTGAGCCTCGATAGATCATACCGTCAAACCCATGCAACTCATCACATATTAAAAATTTTAAGTTGATCCAAAATTGTTGTAATAAAAAAGTTGGTGGAAACCTGATCTAACCTCTTAACTGAATTGCATTTCCATTCCACACATCAAAAGACCTGGCTACATCCATCATAAACATGGAGGGCGACAGCATAGCTGGCTGCACTATTCTATCACTAATTCAGTGCCAAATCCCGAATTTTTAAAAGCTTCAACTTTTCAAGAAATTCTCTGCAAATTAGAGTTCAAACACTCATTCAACATACGCGGCAGAAAAACTTGGAAGTCTGGAAGAAAAAAAGAGTGCCCTGAATTGGATCATTCATTTAACGTCCCTAAGATGGGGCACCGAGGTATGAGGCAAGCCGCAAAATGTCACTGAATACTCCACCAGCTGTTACTTGGGCACCGGCGCCTGGACCACGGACTATCAATGGTTGTTCCTTGTACCTTGTAGTTGTGAATGCTATGATGTTATCGGATCCTGAGAGCTGTGCAAATGGGTGACTTTTGTTGTATCTTCGCAGCTCCACTACTCCCTTTTGATTAATGGCATCCACCACTCCAACGTATCTTAGGACCTGCCAAAGAATCATTTGAATCAAAAGTATTTTGGAATCACCTTCGGAGACATTATACATATGGTACACACAGACAACAACAAAAAGAGTAAGAGACTGTTAAATAACGAAAAGCATTGTGATTCCTAATCCACAAAACTCCGGTAATTTTCATGATCAACTTTTTCAGCAGTTTGAGAGCAAAGGTATATTTCCTATTAGAATGACCCTCAAAAGGTTCTACATAGCATGCATGCATTCTTTTAGGCATAATGTCAAAAGGCACCCCTAACATTTGACTAAATAGTCACTTCGGTCCCTATTCTTTTTTCTTGAAGCATTTTGGCCCTTAAACGTTTCATTTTGGGGCAAAAAGCCCCCTCTATGGATGAAAACTGTTAGTTAACAAGCTGCTAACGCTCCAAAACAGGGGCCTTTTAACCCTAAAATGAAATGTTGAGGGTCAAAATGCTCCATAAAAATGAATACGGGAAAAAATGACTATTAAGTCAGACGTTAGGGGCCTTTTTGCCCTAAAATGAAATCTAGGGGAGCCAAAATGCTCCAAAAAAAAATAATAAGTTTCAAAATGACCATTTTGGTAAACATTGGGGGCTAATTTTAGCATTGTCTTTCTTTTAAAACACGGATTCCTAGTCACCTCGCATTGAGGCACATCTCAAAGCATGCCTTGCTATTGCATTTTTAATAGAGTTCAAAAGTTTGTCAGTGTTATTATACAGGTACAAATAGGGAAAACAAAGAAACCAAAGCTGAATACTCACTTCCCTTGATTCTTCAGCATCCTGTCTCTCCTTGGCCATATCTGTGTCAAACTGAGGTAATTGCTTCATAAAATCCTCGGCAGATGCAGTAGCCTGCAAAGGCAAATGTAAGTATCATGTCTTTTAGGCATCGAAATCATTTATTTTTAGTAACTTTATAACATGGAAAAGTTAACCCTTACTCTTAGTGGTTCTGGAACCAGGGTTTGAACAGGTATATCAGAAAGTTCCAACTTCAAGCCAGATTCTCTGGCAAGAATTATCACCTACAAAATGCAAATCAACATATGAACCCAATCTCATCAAAATGCAGTGAGCATAAACCAGATGCGGTTAAAATGTGCAAGACATGACACTTCCAAACCATCATGGTTATTCTTAGCCTTAATTTTAGGAATGGAATTCAACCTTGATTTTCAGGACTGAAGTAGAAGAATTTTCTTGATAGTTTCATTGTTTTCCCTGGGGGTAGATAAATACCTAGGCTTGTACTACTGTTATGTACAAGTTATTCAACAAAATATCCTTCATTTTATACTAACAAAAGATATCATTCCAATTAATGTCTGTTGATTTATACAGCACTAAACTGATGATGAAATATCAATTACTTAGAATGAATTAAAGCATAAATTTCAAACAAGCTAAATTCTCTATGTTTGAGGAAGCCGACTTATCTATACATCCTTCTGCACGTGTCAATAAGAAAGATGCTACGAACAAAAGAAAGATTCTCCGCTGAACAACTACCTCAAGAGTCGATAGTAGTAGAAAATCCCAACATGATCCAAACTGATTTGATAACATTAAGTCGAGAATTCAAACCCATCAAACCCGAATTTAATTTGATAAAAAAAATTATGTCTCTGACCATTAGTCTATTAATAATTTTTAAAAGATAAAAATACAAAATATCTTTTGCAACTCTCATAGTACAATAATTATGTATTTTTTGTACACAAAAACCATAAATTTAATTTTATATAGAACAAACAATGTTTTATACCTATATTCAAGTAGCATTTATCTGGAAAAAAAAAGAAAGAATAGAAAACTCTCAAAAGAATTCTAGCGTTCAAGAAATTAACTAACAACGAGATTATTCCTTAATTCATGATGGATCTATAATAAATGGTAAACTATATATTAGTAATTTGATTATGATAAAGATGAAATATTAACCAACCAAAATTAGTCATGACTTTCCATTTACTTTCATGATTCTTTTTCTAGATTATCTCAATGATATGAAAAATCAAAACTGCATGCCACCAATTAACATGTGACCGTAAATAACTTAATTTGGGATGATAAAATCAAACACGATCTGAATGACCCACCAAAGCCAACCTGATTTGACTTTGAAGTCAACAAATTAAACCTAAATGAACTTGAAAAGACCAAAACGTAAAATGATTGAAACCAAAAATAACCCCAATTTTACAAGACCTATATAGCCCTACCCACCCAATTACCACCTCTACATCACAATTTGGCCAGTGTCAACATGCAGCTAAAAAATACAACGCTAACTTAATTACATATATAACTAAAGGAGCAAAGAAAAATTGAACACTAACCTTTCTTGCAACATCAGTTCCAGAAAGATCATCCCTGGGATCAGGTTCGGTATAACCTGCTTCTTTAGCCTCTGCTACCACCTCACTAAAGGTTCTAGTACCGGTGAAGTTGTTGAAAATATAACTCAAAGTGCCACTGCAAGTAATAATAAAGCATGTCAAAGTCAAAAATTGCATATTAGGAGATATAAAATTACATGACAATATGACACCTGAAAATGCCCTCAATGCGCAATATTCTGTCCCCAGTTTCAAGGAGGCCCCGTAAAGTGCTAACAATTGGAAGACCTGCTCCTACAGTTGCTTCATAGAAGTAATGTGTGTAGGATTGTCGCTGAAGAGCTCTCAGCTTTAGGTACTGTGTTTCACACAAATAGCACATCAACAAAGCAAGTCCAATAATATAAAATGTAATTAGAGAAAAAAGTGAGAGATGCAATCAGATGGAAAGTTTCAGCTGAAACAAATTGCACCAAGCAAAATCATTAAGATAAACAGTTTTAGTAAAACATATATATATACCGACACATGAACCTCATTCAAATACCCTTTCAGTGAGGATGAGCCACTAACGAATTGAAGGAAGATTGAACTTTTACAAGTTCTAATAGCCAAAATTACTAGAATTAATATTACCTTATCGAGCGGTCCCGAATTGGCCTTTTTGTTTGGAGTGATTACATGAATCCCTTTACACAACCAGTCATGGTAACAGCTGGCAACATTAGAGTCTGCTGTACAATCTACCAGAGCGGTATTTGGAATAAAATGATTTCCATGCACATGTTGAGTAAATTTTTCTAGATCGGCAACTTGTCCTTTCTGCTTCAGAAGTTCTCTCCATCTTGACAAGTCAATGCCACTGCAGCAACAGAGGGATGAGTCAATCGTAGGAACATAATTCGGAATGGAAAAACATGAAATCAAAGGTAAAATACGACAAAACAAACAGTTCTAAATTATAAGAAACAGTTCATCAACAAGTACCAATGGTCAAAATGAAGGAGAAAACCGTGAGTTTGATGGTGGGCACAGTGGAAAAACATGTAAATTACAATAACAATAATGGCAGATTTATGCTGTAAAACACAAGATTCAGAGAAAAGAAAATAAAGTATAAATGAGAAACTACAAAAACACTTTACAGAAGAAAAGTCTAGAAGACCAACACAAGGGCCATTAACAATGACATGGTAAATTCTTAATTTTGTATATATGTAAGAGGAGGTCAAATGTAGTTTTTGACACAAATGAAAGGTTAAATGTATCAAAATTAAACTGATAAATCTGTAAGGCAATAGAAACTTTATATAGTAGAGCACATATATGACAAATTAAATGATTAATTTTAGGTTTTCTGTAAGCTTCCAAAAACTCTCTTCGTATTCGTAAGAAATATTTAGAGACGAAGCAAATTAAATTCTTCACAAGTCAAACCAACAACTATAGGTCAAAGGAGGCATATAGTCTCATTGTAGTACAAGTTAAGAAGAATAATGATACATGGGCTCTTTAGAGTTTAGCATTTTATTCAAACAAAATAATTTCTAGTTCAACACAATACAACAAATCACACAAAAGAATGTTTTTCAAGAAAAATGAATACCACAACTTTATAGAATTCATTTCCATCAATAATTTGATATGCTTCAAATCAATCGAACAGAAACAATTGCAGAACATTTGATGGAATTAATTTACTCCAAACACACACTAAGGAACATAAATGCACATATATTATCCATAAACTTTTATACAATGATAATAGCAGTACAAATTATTTTTAAAATTTAATTTTCTAACAAGAGAAAACACAATGGTTTCTTCCTAAATATCATTTTAAAAATATACCTGAACGTAGGATTATTTCTATGAATGTTCAAGACTTACACTTCACTTAAAAGCATTGTCCTTGATCCAGTAATCCCCATTACACGCAAATCAATATTAAACTCTTCCTTGAGGACTGCTACCTGCCCAAAAAAAGTTAAACCATTCATTCGGGTTCAATAAGTTCAGAAATTACCAAAATTTCATCCCTAGCAAATACTGCTGCCACCAGAGCAAACCCACAGATGCCTAGGTCAAAACGATTGACTTGTTCTGTTCAAAGAAAGCCGATTTTTAAATGGATGTATACAATGGTAGTTTAATTTCACTAGGGATCTAAACAAACCAAAATGAAATGGCCTGGAAAGTACTTAAACTTGACTAAAGCTTGATTGCATTTCATTTCTCATACTCAAGCTTGACTTTATATGCAAGCTACTCCACTTAATGCTGATAGAAGCCAACTCAAGAAAAAGCAAATGGCAAGTCAGCTGAGTAACTTGTGACCGACTCAACTCTATTATAACAGCATTTTTCAAAATGACTGATGAATCACAAGAATAGTCACAAAGGTTAACCCAAGGACCAACTACCACACAAAAAATGTGAAATAATATAGTTATAAAGTAGTAGAATAAATGATTTGCACATGTTACTGCATCTTTAGATCTTACAAAAAAAAGTTACTGCATCTTTAGATTTACTTCTACAATGTATTTATTGAACAAGTAACAAAAAGAATTTATTGCATGCTCAAATACAAATATTTGTTAGCAACATAAGAAAAATAAATAAATAGTACTTCTTATGATACTACACCTGATCCCTCAACTGATCGAGTAATGCTGCACCAATCAATCCAGGTCCAATTATCCCCATTGCTATGGTTGTTCTTGAAAGATAGAACCTTGAATGCACAGCTCTTAAAGCCCTTATACAATCTTCACGCTTGAGAACTGCTGTGATATTGTACTCAGAACAACCTTGAGCTATAGCACGAATGTTGATATTAGCCTGTATTATGATATTAGATGGGAAAAAAGGGAAATAGTAAGTTCTAGTGTGAATATTATATAAACATATATGGAAAAAAAAAGTATTTGTCTGAAAGGATATATATATGGAACTTTCTACCTTTGCCAGAGCATTGAAAAGAGTTGCACTGACTCCAGGAGTGCTAGCCATTTTCTGGCCAACAGCTGCTAATATGCTACAGTTAGGAATGACTGCAACCTGAGAAGGACCCTTATTTGAGAAAATAAACTAGACAATAGAACCATACTAATGTAGCAGAAAGGTAACTTAATCCAAAATAAATAACACTGGACACTTCTCCATATATATATAAAGCAATCAATAATAGATTTTGAGTTGAAACAGTAAGCAAAATTTAACCCATGAGGACAATGCAGATACAAAGGTTAGCAATGTTTACTCAAGCCTGATGCTGCAACCAACACACTAGATAATGCCCAGAACAGAAAACATGAAGATAGTTTATATTCGAAATATTAGCAATATGTCAAATACACCGTCTGTTATGCATGTTTGAATTCAACCTACAAAGTGAGTTCAACTGGTACAATTTTTAGTTTCCATGACCCATATTATAACGCCCGAGCCCCAGGAACTATATAAATCCAAATGATTCCTCAGCAAATTCTTCACAACTTTCCCTGGTAATTAGACCAATTGTTGTCTTAGGAAAAATGCCAAAAGCTAAATAACATCAATATTTTTCAAAACCTATACACCCTTTCAAAAAATTGAATTCCTAATGTTGTTATTAAGAATAGTGTCATCCTTAGGTTGGTCAAAAGGTCTGTGAATTGTGAGGCTGACAGCTTGGCTAAGGCAGGGATAGGGTAGTTTTTACTGGACAGAGGTGAGTTTTGAGTGTGGGGGGGTGGTTGTAATAGCCGGCTGTTGTGTGTATTGTACTATTCTCTGGAATGACATTTGAGGCACTCTTTTCCTCCTTCCAATGTCCGTTGATGTACTTTTGTACAGCAATGGTTATGAAGTGGGGTTTTAATGAGGTCTCGCTATTTATCAAAAAAAAAAGTTTGCACAACAGTACTAGTTTTAGAAAATCTTTAAGCTGATTTTGGAATGTTTGTAAAAAGATTGCAACATGGGTAGATGTTTTCCATATTTGACAAAAAGAGACTACTCCAATTTTTACATGTTTCTTTCAGTAATTAAGTATTTCATTAAGAAGAGAATGCAGACTTGTATGAGACAAATTTCAAGCTTCAAAGAATATACCTATATGCATTGTTAGTCTCTTATGTATATTGTCTCTATTGATACAAGGAATGGAGAGCCCAGAACGCTTAGAACTCAGGGTTTTCTTGAAACATTAAGTGTAACAAAATTATGGGAGCTAAATCAAACCAAAATAACAATGGTCCGTTATAGACGGAGAATGTAGATATGCTAGTTGAGAGATTAAATTATCTACAATTTTATTTCAATTTTATATTTTATGGGTTATTTGTAACTTTTATTGATATTTTAGAACATGGTTATTTAATATATTGTTTAATTTACATCTTTTTATCAGGGTTCTGATTTTAGTTATAAACACCTATGTTATTTTAGTTTCAATTAGGTTTGGATTATTAATATTTGAGATATTATAATATTAAATATTCAATTTCACTCAATTACTTGCTAGTTTCTCCCCTAGTTCCCTTTCCATAAAATCTTTTTGTTTCTCCCTTAATGCTTCCATCTTCTGATTTTCCTCGAGATCTTATATTCATTGCATTTACCCTACTTCCGCTACATCAGCTATGCTTGTCTGATAATCAAGTCCACATGTATGTTTAAACTGAAAAGCACCTGTGAAAGACGCCCAGCATCCAAAGCTTGGCGGAATCTAGATTGCAAAGCCTCAGCAACTGCTTTTACCTCCTTCTCAGGCACAGCAAAACAGACTGAATGCTCACTACTAGCCTGCATCAATACTGAGAAATAAGCATCCCATGTATAACAAGAATAGCATAATTGGAATAAGAGAATGTAAGCACCTGGGATATCATAATGACATTAGCCCCCACATCTTTCACGGCACTAAAAATGGCACTAGCTGTACCAGGAACACCGGCCATACCAGTTCTACCAATAGAAAATCAAGGTTCAGAATAAATATGACAAATTGAAATAATATAACAGAGCATGACCAAATACGTGCAGAAAATTGCATGGGGAAAACATACCCCTCAACGTTTACAAGTGCCAAATTATCAATAGTTGCAAACCCCTTGACTGGAGAATCTACGTTTTGACCATCTACATCATCACTTGCAGAACGGCAGATTTTTGTTCCAGGGGCAGAGAGATTGAAAATATTCCTTATCACAATTGGAATATCATATCGCATCACAGGTATAATGGTACGAGGATGCAAAACATTAGCACCAAAATATGACTGCATACATCAATTTATCTTAGAAAAATATCAAGAAAGTTAAGAAACTTTATCAGTTATAAAAAAGAGCCGTGAGGCCTACCATTTCCCATGCCTCTTGATAAGACAATTTCCTTAATATCACAGCTTCACTAACTGCAAGAGAAAAATTGTTCTTTACCATCACAGTCAAACCTCAATTTATATTGTATAAAGGGAAAATAATTCTAAGGAACTCCTGATAACATAAATTTGAGGATCACATCTAGCCTAATTCATAAATCAGTATTTTATTAGATTTTAGATGAAAGAAATACATGTGCTAGCATCTTCCATCAATTTTAAATAAATATTTTATGAAAATTTATACAAAACAGAACTAGTATCATTTTCTTTTGACAAGTAACTCAAAAATTATAAACTTCTCCCTCTAAAGAATTCGTTTGATGCATGTTAAAAGTTAGTGCCTGAAATGCTAAGCTGGAACTGATGAGGGATGCTGGTTTGGAGGTTAGCTGCTGCTGGTTACATAAAGGCTGAGTAGGATTTGCTTTAAGTAGTTAGATAAGTCATTAAGTGTTAGTTAAAGCTGTTAATGATAATTAAACATTTTGTTAAACAAAGAGTAGAAGAAATTAAAGTTGATTGTTGATTTTCATCTTTACTCCCCTATAAATGCATGTACCAAAGAAGAAATAAAGCAATAAACAAGTCTTTTTCCTTCTCAATCTTTCTTTTTCTTTTTCTTCTTTAATTGTGTTGTTAAGAACATACTAACAGGATCATGTCATGGGGTAATTGACAGAGAAGTCGAAGTCAATTGTCTACCCTTTACCTCAATCCCAGTAAACGACCTATTGTCATCGACATTCAACTCATCAAAGGGAGATTGAAAGTTGAAACCCTAGGGACTCCTTGCAGAGAGTCCCAGTGCCTAAGGACCAATCTTATAACACAAATAAGAAACCTATTCTAAAATGGAAATAAATTAACAGAAACAAAATAACAATCAAGAAACTTAAGGCTTAATTAGAGAATACATAAAATTACCCCTCCAGCAGAAAGAGCTTTTACTCATACTCGAAGTCAGGATAACTTGACGACATAAACAAACCACTTCAAAACTAATGAGATCTAAACCGCTCTCTATAAAAAATGCCAAAGGATTGGAGGTAATGAGATTGAATGACACAAAAGCTCAAGAGCTACCTTTTCGAGGGTCTGCACTATAGACACCATCAACATCTGTCCAAATTGTAACTTGGCGAGCCCTAAACAGAGCACCCATTATTGCAGCAGAGAAGTCACTTCCATCCCTCTTTAAAGTTGTAGGAATATTCTGAGGTGTACTAGCAATGAATCCAGTAGCAATAATTATCTTAGATGGATTCTGTGAAAACCACTTTTCCAGTTTTCTTTCGGATTCCGTGAAATCAGGATCGACCTGGTTAGAGCTAGTGGGATTTACAATAAGTACCTCCCTTGTATCCATCCATTTGCAATCTATCCCACTCTGTACCAAAATTCATTTCACAATTCATCAGATAACATCCCCAAAAGTTATAACTAACCAAAAAATAGAAATGCGTACCTTTCTAACAACATAAGATAACATTTGAGCAGACCATAACTCCCCATGTCCAACAACAAAATCTGAGAAAGATGCTGTGACATGACCAGCTGAAAAAGGAGGAAACGATAAGTATGTAAGTTTACATGACAAGAAATAATCCTTTAGAAGAAGTATTAGTTATACTATAAAAGGAGAAACAAAATAAAAAAAAAATACCACAAGGCAGTCGAGAGGAAAAACTATGGTAATGGAAAACAAGACCTGAAAATGAACTTTACACAACTATTTGAATAACTAAGCTCAGTAATTTAGCTAGTGCAAAGAAAACAACTTAACAAGTGCATCACAACAACAAGAGGAAATGTATGTTTCCTTTAATCTTCCTCTCCTGGAAACAGTGACCGCTGATAAGATTTATTTGAGCTGAGCAGTCAACGTAAAGCCAAATCTTAGCGTCTATACAAAATACAAAGTTGAAACAATAAATGCAAAAGGGAAAGTCAAAATTGAAACCCTTTGTGGTAAAAGTAACTGGCCCATTTAAAATAAAACCAACCGTGTCAAACAAATTCTTCTTTTTGCTAATCATATACCTGAAGTGAATTTCATATAATTATTTCCAGGAACATGTTACAACTAAATAAATATAAGCAAAAACACTAACAGAGAGAGAAGAAAATCTAGCATTAAGATTCAAGTAATCAAAATTGTTTCAAAACAATTACTTAGAATAAAAAAATGGAAGCCGCGTAATCCACATAAATTTTTAAGATATTTTGTCTTTTTATTTCTTGTTGTTGGACCAGGCTGAAAACTCTATCGTTACTAAACCAACTAGAACCCAATTCTACTGCCTACTTGCACGTCAAGTTCTACAACAAATCTAAGAAAATGAAGTAAATTATCATGAAATTACTCAAATCATTGGATCGCACGTTTTATGGCAAGAAACAGATACGAGACAGAAAAACAAGGTTAACCTAAAGAAAATAATTTTTTCCATAACGAACTTCAAAAGAATGATGTTTCAGATGAGACATAAGGTCAAGATCCAGATCAATTACATAAATACCTGTTCAAGGGATATGGTGGTTCTACAGTTTTAAAATGTTCAAACAATTAATACACAGAATTTCCTATTATTACCAAACAAACTGATGGATTAATTACTTGTTGGAAAACCCATGAAAGAAATGGAAAAACAAATAACAATGAAAACAAGTCTACTATTGCAAATGCACTTGATAAAATTACAAAATTGAAACTGCTGCCGGTTCGAAAATAGATTGATCAGCCATCAGTACTACTAGTGGCTTTTTTTTAACTCCTATGAACAAAGACAAACAAGTAAAAATTGATTTAACCTAGTTTTCTGAAGATTTTTAGATTCTTTCCGAGAAATATTATTAATATAGCATATGAAAAACACATTTATCAGCGCATTAACAGTGTCCTTGCTTAAACAAAATTAGACAGCAAACATATGAAACTGCACTAATCACCTAACTCATTTTGTTCTATAAAAGATGTGAACAGAGGTCAGAGTGAGTGTTCTAACCTATATATATTGCACGAAGCATTGCTTTGAGGTTACTAACATCATGATGCAGTTGAGATAAGAAAGTCGCAAGGTCATCTCCATCAAGCAAATCAAGTGCTGTCGAATTATGTTTTTCTAATACAGCATCCAATGCAGAGACGTAGGAATCATCTCTTGATTGTGCCTTGTTGATAAGGTCATACATCATATCTGTCACCTTAGACATGGCTGATATCACAACCAACTTCCTTTCTGAATCATCACTAATAATTATATCTGCGACATTCTTGATCCTCTGGGAGGTCCCAACACAAGTGCCCCCAAACTTATGGACAGCCCACATGTCTCCCTGGGGAAGATTTACTTCATCCACCGATTTCTCTACAGAGATATCTATAAATGAGAGAGAAAATAAAGATGTAACTTTTAAATATCAATTACCAGTAGTAAATAGCCTACAGACTATTTGTTTAAGCAAATATGTGATATATGTAATCACGTAAATCAGGCCAACATTAATTACAATGTTTATCCCAGCAGATATTTTCTATTGGTTGAAAAGACGGACTAGTCAATACACCAGATCAAAGGACATATAAAAGTCGATCCATATAGTTTAATTTCTGAATTTAGTTTCAACATTTACAGGAGTTGAATCGAAAAGTTGCATAGAGTGTCAAATTTAAACCATATGTCCAGCTTATGCATTATTAAGGTAGTGATGAGACAAAAACTGAGCTAATATAGCAACAATATTCTAAAAATTAAATTAAAAACTAAAAAACCATCATCATTTCCTTCTTTTTTCTGTTGTCTTATTTTTACTCTTTATGTTTTGAAGACAAAAGTAGTTCCAGGTCTCTCTCTTAAGGAAATTATACATGGAAAATCCAAATGGGGTACAAAGGTGGATCAAGGTAAAAGAAACAGAAGTCCAAAGTCAAAGCTGTAGAAAATTGCCTATGGTACTGATCATCATTTAGATGATTTTAGTAAAGCCTACATCTAAATCAATGAACAAAGTGATCCAATAACCATTGAAACATACACACGGATAAATTACATAAGTTACACAACAAATAAATTCCATAGAAGTTCGTCTTATATCAATGATAGGTGCCAGAGAGAAAAATGAAACAGGCTTCAAGCGTAAAGATGTAAAATGAATCCAAAACTTGTTATTAAAAACAAGAAAGAGAACTACAACATGTAAAACAAACCTGATACTGAAGTCTGGGCATGGATAGTTAATGACTTCCCTCTTTCCAACCGAGAACTAATATTTGATCTGGAATACATAGATAACAAGAGAAACTCATTATTGTCTTAGTAAAATATAATAACAGAAAAGCCAACTGGGATATAAAAGGACAGGTTATTTGATGACAAGTCCAAAAAAATTACCCAGATCCTCCAAATGAGCAACTTAATTGTTTAAATTGATATTATGGTGGGAAAGAAAACAAGGGTCCACATTTCCAATAAGCAATTAGCCTAGGCTATTGTTGTTTGAATTGGCTGAATCTCAATTGTGGATACAAATTTGAGCATTCAGCACATCGATAGCCTAGGCCTATGTTACTAGGACTTCAACTGCAGTTTTACATAGCAAAAGACAGGCTCTAGGCATTAAGGTCCTTACAACACCATAGGCACAAAGCATCAAAAGCACTCATCACAGTGAAGTAAGTCGGTAGGTTTTCAAGATTTGCTTAGAAACATGACCATAATCCTAAATACAGGAATTAAAGTAGCAAAAAGTTCAACCATAAAAAATAAATTAAAAGAAACAATCGATCCATATTGAATTAGTTATTCATAAAAGTCTAAACAATATATATATATAATTCACACATCTTCCTCTCTTTTTTTCCTTCATTTCTTTCTTAGATTTTTTATAAGAAACAAGCAAATCAAGTCAAAATTTGGGAGCAAGAGCAATCTATACAACCGCTGTTCAATTTTTATCTCCTTGCATCTAAGCTACATACTTATAATCATAATCGAAATAAGACCAGATCGATTTTACCTCCATGAAATTAAAAAAATTAAAAGGGAAAAACACTTCGAGCATGCTTAAAAAGCAGAAAAACAATAGATAAATAGATAAATAACGCGTTATAGCTATCATTTGGCCAGCATAAGCATCATTTCCTGAGAACCAAACAGATAAGAAATAGAGTTCGTAGAAATAAAGCGAAAAAAACTGAAAACCTGGAAAGAGGAAAAGCCTTGGGAAGAGGAAAGGAGCGGCATTGAGGAGAAGGAGAAAAACCAGATATCTTCCGCTTAGGCAACGAGGTAGGCGAGAGAAAGCGTGAGGAGCCGGAGATAGTGGCTGAGAAGGCCGCCATTAGCATCACTTCCAACAGTTACAACAACCACTTCCCCAAGCAAAACTTCCTCTCTTTAATGGCTGCTGCTTTGTCGTTTGTGTTTACGATTACGGATGATGAAACTGCATTCAGATCGGGAGCATATATTATTGTTAACCTATGGGTTTTGAATGATTTGATAATTTTTTTATTTATTACTATTAAACTCAAAATGGTGGGTAAAATAGCTTTCCATTTTGTATATTGTTATTTTTTTATTTTTTTTAATAAATATATATATATATATATATAGACACACACGAATATTATATAGAATAATAAATTAAATGAAAATTATTTAGTAAACTAAGTTTAGATTAATAATTCAAAATAAAAATTATTTAATAAATTTTATTTGATAAAAATATAAAATATGTTGATAATTATTTATTTATCAATTAATTTAGAATATATTTTAAAAAATTATTTTATTTTATTTTGTACGAATGAATCAACTTTAATGGTTAAATGAATGATTGTTATTCATAGAGGTTTAAGGTTCAATCACAGACGATTATAGGGTATTTGAGCATATGGTGTCAAATGATTGAAAGTCTTTAGAACAAATATTATCACTTGGAATCGCGATAGATTAATTAAAAAACTATCTTAATTTTTGAGATTATATTATTTTATTAAAATTTTAAATTTTCAAATAATTTAATTCTATTTTTTATTTTAAATTATATATCAAGAAGAATAAAAAAACTTAAATTAAATATTTAAGGTTGGTTTAATTAAAAATATATATGTTATTTTTATTTTCTCGAAAAATAGAAAACATTGAAGAAAACATGATTGGTGGTAAAATTAAAAAATGATTTATAAAAAAAATAAAATTATAAAATGATTTCTAAAAAATAAAAACAAAAAAAATGAAAACATGAAGATAAAAAAGATATTTTTAATATTTCCATTAAAACAGCTTAGGAAATTTGAAAAATAAAAAAATACAAAATCTAGATTTTAAACTTAACTTACGGATGTTCAAATCCTTTTAACAATTATATTTTGATTTAATGATATCTAAAACCCTCAAACTTTTAAAAAATCAAAATGGTCCCTAAACTTTTTTTACTCTCAATGTAATCCTTAAACTAATTTTTTAATATTTTTTTTTATTTTTAGCATGTTTATATTTAATTTATTAAATATCTTAATAATTATTTAAATTTTAAATTTAAATAATACCTTAATTTTTTTAAAATTTAAATAAGTCCTCAAACTTTATAAAATATTAATTAAACCCTCAAACTTAGTGAAAAAGTCAATTAAACTCATTTACCACATCATTATCCATCGTGTACTGCCACAACAACATAATAAATTGTCACATCAATATTGTATATTATCATATAAACTTTGTGAATTGTCATGTAATCATCTTGACAGTTTGATTCAATTGATCAAAAAATTAAATAGAATTTTTGCTTCAATTACATTTTAAACCTCAAATTCCAAAATACTTCAATTACATGTCCAACCCCAAATTCATAATATATTCTCAAAATCTGGCATAACAAATTAAACTTGAAGCAACAACCCTAAACCCTCAAAAGATATTTTTAATTATTAATGATGTATATTTTGTAAAAATAATTATTTAATTTTAAATTTTTAAAGAGAATAATATATTTTCTAAAGTCGTTTAATAGGTTTGTTAACTTGATAGTTGTCTATTTTATCAAATAAAATTAGAATAATTAATACAGAAAAATGCGAGTTGATATGGTGTGTATGAAAGCAGTGTATTGTTGTTGTTAGTGACAGTTTTAATAAACTTTTTAGATCCGTGACTTGTGACAACTGTGGCTTTTATAAGGTCCGTCCAAAAAATATATTGATGAAGTAATTATGTATAGAAGAGGTTAAAATCTCTGTTTTGAAAATCGGATCGAATCGGTTGGTTCAATCAGTTTAATCGGGAACCGTTGTTTAGTCCGGTTTAATATAAATCGGTTGAACCGTTATTAGTGAACCGGTCAGAACCGCTGAACCGTTCGAATCGGACCGGCTGAAAACCGAAAAAAATCGGGATTTTTGTTTTTTTAAAAAAAAAAAATTAAACCAAACAACGTCGTTTGGTAAACGAGTCAAGTCGAACTTGAGTATTGCTGAGCTCGACTCGAACTTGAAAACTTAAAAGTAAGCTTAACTCAACTCAAACTCACAAGCTAAAAATTATCAAGTTCAACTCAAACTCGAAATATAATATTGAAACTTGAACTCAAAAAGGCTTGAACTCAAAAAAAATTAGAAGCTCGATTGAAGCCTAAAATTCGAGCTTGATTGAAGTGAAATAATAGTTCACTCAATGTTCACCAAAAGGCTCCATGATTTTGAATGCCAAATTACCTCTATTATTTATAGAAGTTAGTTGTGATGCGCTTCTATGTTTCTTAGCAATGTGAGATTGTTTTGTTCTCATATTTTTACTCTTTAGACTTTTGGGATGCTCTTCAATTTTTCTTAGCCAGGTGGAATTGTTTTTAAAAAAAATTAAACCAAACAATATCATTTTGTTATGATTTTTTTAACCCCAAATTTATTTTTTAATTATAGTTATATAATTATATTTATTATTTAATATGTTTTACCTTAAATATTATGTTGTAGTTAATTTGAATCATTTTGTTTCACTTGATTTTATGATTTTTAACTTATATATGTTACGATTTGCTTTGAATATGACTTGTGATATAAAAAATTATTTTTTATTAAATATTTTTGATATTTTTATTTAATTTTTTAAATAATTATGACATCGTCCGATTTTTCTGACTGATCGAACCGATTCAATCGATTGAACTAATAAATCGATAACATGATCGATTTACTAACCGATCTGATTCTAAAAACCATGGTTAAAATCTGGAGATCATAATCAACTACTAAAACAATGAATATCAAATTCAAAAGTGTTTGCGGCTTTTAAAAGCAGTGGTCCCACCGTTCACCGCTGGACTCAGAAGGGATCTTCCGACTCAGAAGGGATCTTCTTAACGTCAGTCCAATTTTCTTTTTCTAATTTCGCCGATCACACGAGGACTTCTACCGTACAAGTACAGTGTAAACGAGTTGAGTTGAGTCGAGTCAAGTTTAAGTATTGTTGAATTTAAATCGATTCAAAAATTTTGAAATAAAATTTGACTCAACTCGAAAATTCTTGAGCTTAAAACTTTTAAGTTCGGCTCGAATTTGAAATTATGAACTGAAAATCGTAAAAGCTCGAGAAGGTTTAAAATGAAACAAATTCTTAAACTTAACTTGATTGAAGCCTCAAACTCGAACCTGAATCTTGAATACATGAAAACATTACTATATTTTTTTAAAAAATCAACACATAAATATTAATGTTATTAATAATTAATTTTTTTAAAAATAAAATCTTAATATATTATATTTTCGAGACGCTCACGAGCTTTTCGAGTCGAGTATCAAGTAGCTCGTTTTGACTCATTAATAGCTCGTTTCGAAAATGTTACATTTTTTATAATATTTTTTATTAAACCGAAGATGTTAAAAAGTTAACATTTTATATTACAAACAACCTAAAATATTATATTATTTATAACATTTTCAGTTATTCCTTTTATTAACTTTATATTATACCGTTGTACCGTAGAACTATCTTGATCATCCTTTAAACTATTTTACGTAGTTATGGCAAACTCAACCAACAAAAAAAAAACACTTTTAAAAATATCAATATTTGAAAATTACGAATACACATTTATAAAATAACTTAAATGAATGAATTTTCTGACTAAAAAATTAAAACAAATTTAGATTTTAAAAAATTATAGTAATAAGTTTAGAACTAAATATTCAAAATATCACCATTTTTATCATCACATCATCTTCTTTTCGAAGAAGTCAAAAATATTTTCTTGTCCTCCATACCCAGTTATGAAGTATTTTCAAAAGCTTTTCGTCTTATACGGGAACGTGGATTTGAACACGCCATCTTCTAATGCGGATGTGATTAAACTTCTCTCTGCACCTTCTCCTTAAGCTTATGAAATTGTACGTGAAAATCGCCTCCCTTTCTGACAAAGCTTGTTCAATTTACTTCTATTAAATTTGATATGAGACCATTGTAGTTGCTGGTTTTATGTTTAAATTTGAAGTCAATTTGAGTAGTGGGTTGTCCATCTTTTCTGATTCACCTCCTAATTTGTCTAATCTTCGGTGAAGAAATTAATTCAATTCTCCTAATATTCGGTTAAGAAATTTTTTAAGGTTTTGTCTTGACTGATCTGGATCAACCCATATCGTACACCTGACATTAATGGGTGAGTTTCATCGGTGGAGATTTTTTATATATATACAAGGATTCAAATTTAAGATCTTACTTACGCGATATCAAACTACTTACTACACCAACTTGTTGATGAATGAAAGCATAATTTAATAAAGAAAGTAGAGACAACAACTTATAAATAGGAACTAATAATTTTTAAAGAATAATTATACGATATAATGACGATGATTTTTTTTTTTTTTGAATTGAAAGAAGAAAGAAACAAGTTCTTACAACAGGTTCAACGAGAGCTTATCAAACTCGAGTAAACTTAAAAGAGCAGCGGGGGGGATCTTACATGATGAATGTTTCGTGGGTAAGAGGATCAACAAGCTTAGCTATAACATCAGCAGGAGTATTACCCTGTAGAAGAATCCATTGAAGGATCGTTGCCCAAGCTTTCTGTCGAAACTTGTCGATAGCGTGGACGAGGGAAATGGGGCTGGAGGCGGCATCAGTGCTATCCAAGAGCTTGACAGCTTCAAGAGAGTCCGTCTGGATCATCAGGAGTTCGAAGCCATAATCCCATGATAAGTGGAGTCCAATACAGATGGCCCAAAGTTCTACTTGGAGTGGTTGAGTGATGCCGATCACCTTGTTAAAACCTAAGAGCCAAGAACCTTCATGGTCACGGAAGATACAACCAACTGCGCCTCGTCTTGAGTGGGTGGAGACTGCTCTGTCAACTTTAAGGCATATCCATCCGGAATGGGGAGCCTGCCAACTAGTTGGAGTGGGAG